TTAATAGTAAATTTTATGGTTCATAAATTTCATTATCGATGATAGATTCGATTTTTGTTTTCAATAAAAATATTTATCTTATATTCACTGTGAAAATGAAACGAATTCACTATTTTTTTTTACATCGTCTCACATCGTCTTTTAATTATATGGAAGCACACACAGACACACACGGCCGTTACAGAACGCATTATAATGTATCCAATATAAACATAACATCTAGAACTCTCGTAGACGCAAACGGTATATAGTAAACGTACGGGCAAAAAAAGCCATTAATTTGGCCGCCGTAGCGATCGAAATCACTTCTACGTGAGCAGTTAACGTAATCAAGTGACGCGATCGGTTTTCGCTCAGTTGACGCTCGCGCGTGTAGCGTACAGCCGTGCTTTGTATATCCAAGTGTGTGTGTGTGTGTGTGTGTGCGTTTGTAACTGAGGACCGTGAACACTCCTCGTGCAGATACTCTTGACTCTTGCTGCGCTTGACTATTATACTCCTCGCATTAGTTTTCGCATATAAAATCAGCGCGTGCAGACTACGGGAAGGGCATCGAGCGAGTTCGATCGAATTGCACCCCCGAGTTCAGAAAAAAGTGACCGGTGCAATTTTAGATTTCAACTGCAACCTTTCTTATTGCTCGCTCGTGTGGGTTTCTTCTCGAGTTTCACTTTTAAATGTATAAGATTTCGTACGGAAAAGTCAGTGAATTTTGTATCTGTAGACTGAAACGTTTCATCGAAAAATATTTCAAATTGTTGACTACGAATATTATTTTACTTTACTGAAGCCACGATGCAATATTATTCGTACGAATGAAGGATCGAATCTCCCGTTTTCCCATTAATTTTATAAAAATAAAATAAACTAGAATATATTTTTAAAAATAAGAATTATCAAATTGTTAAGTACATTTTCACTGAAAAGCACGCATTTTCCAATATAATCGCCCTACAAAAGAAGTCGTGCATATAATAAAAAAAACTGTACTCAAGGTATATATTCTTTGACAGCTGTGACAGCTGCTCTCCCCCACTTTCAAATGTCACGTACGCCGGACAAGTTTTGTACCATTATAAGGCAAGTATGAAATGCGAGGCAACTCGTATTGCTAATATTTTTGGCCTCATTCGCGACTGGATGACCCGACGCGTAGACTAGGATAGTATCTACGACGACGACGAAGGAGAACAAAAAAAAAGAAAGGCGCGTGTGTCTTTCATCGCTAATGCGAAAATAGTTGCCTCTGTTATCGTCAGTATACAGACGTTTTTGCTCTCAAAATGATTTCGTTGTCATTTGATTCGTATCTCCACGTGTATTTTCCGAGAATAAACGATGAGTACCCAAAAATGTTTCAGTGATAAATATCTTTATTTTCGTGCAAGTCTGTTGCAAAAACATAATTATTATTGCGACTTTGCAATCGTCGACTGCATTACCTTATTTTTACTTTCTTTTTCAATTTTTCGATTCGAAAAAGTACCGCGTGACACTCAAAATGTAAAATTACAATATCCGATACACGCAGCTGTGTCGAAACTACACGTGCATACGAAAAATGTCACTGAGTGGCTTGAAAAGCTCGAGTCTTAAACTTTCATCCTGTCAGCTCCATCAAACACGTGGTGCACTCGATCACGTGAATTATTCGGAGACGGAATTATTTCTTGACTCGAGACTGCAAATAATTGAATAGGTGCGCGGATACGAATGGGTCAATAATTTATCGAAAATTCTTATCGAACAAAGAGTACGATCGACTTGTATGAAACAAAACCGCAAAATGTAATTTGATCTGTAAAAATTAATTAATCGCACAGTCGCAATTATAAATAACAGTACTCAATCCGATAACGTTTCTCTTGTAAGGCGACGTCGAAAACATACGCAGTCTCGCTTCATAAGGCTCCAGTTATCGAGCATGAAAAATTGTCTGGAGCTATTATTTCCCGCTAATTACTCGACGCGGCTGCATAACTGGTGCAGCAACGTCTCAGTCTCGTCACGTTGGACGTGGAACTTTGTCGCGGGGGAGGCACACGCGTTCGAGGCACAAGCTTTCGACGAAGCTGCCTCCTTCTAGCTTGTATAACACACCCGTAATACATTAAGTACGTATATAACTTATGGCAATAAACGGTCGCGCGAGGAATTTCGTTGAAAACTTTTTAATTAATTTAAATTGATACAAAAGCGTGCTGCAATCGGGCAAGGGCGGGAAGTTGTATTAAAGCGATTTTTCGCCCGACTGCGGACCCGATCGGCCGAGCAAATTCATTAACGAACGAGTACTCGATTTGTATGTGATTATTAATACGATAAGACTCGTTAGTCGAGTGGAAAAATAATTTCATCATGAGTGGTTTTTATGGTGACTCTCTTTTTCATCAAAATCGTATAATTACTTTTAGTCTTGGGGAATTACCTTTGTCAGCTGAAACAAGATTTCCAGGGTCGACGAGAGTAACCTCCTGCTATATATTATGTGGCCCAGCGCGAGCAGGTCCGTAAATTTAACGCATAAGTCGCGTCGCCGTAGGCGCATGCACGCATGCACGCATGCACACATGCACATTACACACATGCATCCGAAATAGGCGAATCGCAACGCGCACACCTCGGTCGGTCGGTTTTGACGTCGTAAAGTGGCTTTCCCAATGTACCGAGTCGTACCGTACACACTTTCAAACAAAATGATGCGATTATATAGTTCAGCCCTTGTGAAAGGGCTATTGTTCGACGAGTGTTTGTAAAGAGCAATAAAAGCCTTGAGGTATGTATAAAGGCTGGCAGTTGACGCGTACAGAGTATATAATAAAATTGCGGTCAATACAGCCTCGCCAACGGTTAATATATTGCATTTAGTAAAAAAAATAAAATTGAGCGGGATGCAATCAATCGACGATTCGTCGAGCGTTTTTATACGGTTTCCTGACGCGTATAAAAACAAAGTTCAAAATGAAAAAAATATTATTTTTCGCGCGAATTTTCAACAACTGCCAACTATCACAGATCCGATTTCCTATCGAAATTTTCCGCAGCCTCTGGATTCGTTGACCCTTGAACAAGTGAAATTTCCGGCAGTTTACCTTTTTTTTCGTCGTTTTCTCTTTCTTTCTTACAGTACGTCCATGTGCAGCTGTACTTAAACGAACGACGGAAAAAAAAGATCGAGGTCTCTGCACCTCACGCCATTGACACTCACCAAAACATCGTTTTCCACCACTGGTAAATTGCATTTTCTTTGCTTCCACACACGCTGCAATCTCAGGATCTATTTTACTATTTTTTTTTTTTTTGTTCGCTCTTCCACTTGTCACCACACATCGTGCGTGCAACTAGAAAATAGAGACAGCTTAGCCTTGCGATAGAAAATATACGCTCGTCTAGTACAGTATGTGCACACGCGGCGCATTGTCGGAAAGACAAAGAGAAACATGCACAGCTCGGATGAGAGTGAGAAATAAACTTGAAAAAGTGTCAAGAAACGAACGCAGAGATAAAAGAAAAGGTTTCAATCAATATATTTATACATAAATGCAAGGGAAAAAACTCTGAAATTGAGCCGTAAACGCGATATAAATTTATAAGAACGCGTGAGAGGCAGATTGTGACACTCGTCGACTCCTCTTTGTCGTTGTTATCATCGTCACCAACTTGATGCATAGCAAATACTCGATTTGTCGATCGCTGTACCCCCAAACTAGAAGTTGAAATTCAAGCGAGATAACGCATTGTTTTGCGCGAGAAAATCGAGCGATTCGATTCGACTTAAATTGAGTAAAATTACCTTTACGCGGGACGAGAAAATCTCAAGGCTGCGACGTCGTACTCTTCCTCTCTCGTAGAGAAAAATAAGAACTCACAACGGTTAAGATAGTTTCAATGATCGTAGAGAAGCTTCGTGGATAATAGTCGATTTTGCACAGCTTGCCCGGCTCGCTCGTAATGGTTTATTTAAAAATCGATTCGTTGCGGCTAATCAGCGAAAATTTCGTCGTAGCGAAACGACTCGCGCGCGCGCGCCTGACGATATACTTAAATAAAACTGCCTCGAAAGTCTTTTTATCGCGTCGTTTACGTTCGGATATATAAAGAGAGAGATCGAGTTTAAGCTCTGGATATAAAAGTGAATTCGCAGGTGTTGAATTTATAAATTGCCACCGCAAAATCGATACTCGAAGCAGATTGTTCAGAGATTCTCGATTCCGATACAATTTGTCTCATCTTTTCTTTCTTGAATAGTACAAAAAATGAAATTCCACTGTATCAGGGGCAGCGCAGTGAATCTATTACGATTATTCGTAATTTAGCCATACGCACGAGGCGTAGCAGGACAGTCATTACCAACACTCGAATATCTGTACGATAAATATATACAGCTCCGATATGTAAAGCCATCCTTGTTCGAGTGTATGCGTGGCTATACCAAAATCTGCGTATTCACCTCGTTAAGGTCGCACTTGGATCAACAACAGCACGTGGCTGACGTTGGCTGCCAATGTATACAGTTCACGCAACGAGCCACAGTACGCGTATACGTGTGCAAAAGCACGAGGGCTCGTGTACAGTCTTACAGGACATCGCCACCCTTGCCCAATACGTATAAATACACACACGCACATAGCAGTACACAAGCTCAGTGGCAGCAGCACAGAGACGGTATTGTTCATAAAGATATATACATGTACTACAGTGGGTGGCAGTCGAGAAAGCTTGCGAGAGTGGAAGCGGCGCCCGCGGCTGCGCCGTCCGCGTGGCTATATCGCGCGCGCTATATGTCAAAAGCACTGTAGTCGGCGGCGGCTGGCTAAAAGCTCTTTCTCAGCCGATCATTCGACGCCCGCGCGCGTCAAGGCTCGTTCGCACGGACCGTGCAGCCGCCGCCACTCCTCAGCTCGCTTCGAGCCCTTATCCAACGTTACGAATTTCTTCCAAGTTCGAGAGTAAAAATACTTCGTGTAGTTGCATCGCCAGTGGGCCGAACAGTCGGACGATCGCTGAGCTTTGATCGAACTTTCATCGGGATCGAGTGTTACTATCTTTGAAAGCTCTGGGGCGAGAGCACGATGCGCTGAAGATCGCAGCCGGTGAAAACAATGTTTCGTCGCGATGCCGATTGCGAACGTGGATACCGGCGGTGCAAGCTCTGGCCCATACTTTGAATGAAAAACGAAAATGACTACTTCGAATACTCGTCGTATTGTGCAGTGTATAGATCCGTGATTCAGTAGTCATCCATAATATAGTGATTGTGCTTTTATTCGTTCTGTGCCAGTTTATACCTATTGTTGTGTCAGTGTTTGTTGTCGGTTAAAAAAGTGCAAAGAAATATAAAAAAAAAAGAATTATAATAATGTGGTCAAGCAGTGCCAACAACACGACAGAGTACGCTTTCTGCGACAACGAGCTCGACGGCTTTCACACGGGCTACGTGGCCATACACGGCTGGGTGGCCCTCATCGTGTGCATCTTCGGCTCGATCGCCAACGGCCTGAACATCGCCGTGCTGACCCGGCGGGAGATGACGTCGCCGACCAACGCCATACTGACGGGCCTCGCGGTGGCCGACATGCTCGTGATGGTCGAGTACATACCCTACGCGTTTCACTCGTATCTCGACAAGCGGCCCAGGAGCGAGACCTTCACCTACAGCTGGGCCGTCTTCGTGCTGTTCCACTCGATCTTCGCCCAGGTCTTCCACACGATCTCGATCTGGCTGACGGTGATGCTGGCCATCTGGCGCTACATCGCCGTCATACACGCGCAGAAGAGCCGCGAGTGGTGCACCTACAAGCGCAGCATAATCGCCATCGTGGCGGCCTACGTCATCTGCCCGTTGATCTGCATACCGATCTACGTGACGACGGAGGTGCAGCATCGCAACGTCACCCTCAACAGTAGCAGTGACAACAACAGCAGCAGCAACGTCAGCGGCGGTAACGGTAGTAGCGCCGGCGACGCCAACACGACCATCTACTACGTCCAGATGACGGAGAGCGCGAAGCACAGCGCCGCGCAGGAGGTCAACTTCTGGATCTACAGCGTCGTGATCAAGCTCATACCGTGCGTGGCTCTGACGATACTCAGCCTGCCGCTCATCAGGGCCCTGATGGAGGCGAAGAAGCGACGCAAGAATCTGACGACCGCGACCATGCTCAAGATGGAGGAATCCATCAATCTGTCGGAGGGCAAGAAGCGCAAGAGGAAAGTGTCGCGCGCCATGGACAAGGAGCGACAGACCGACCGCACGACCAAGATGCTGCTGGCCGTGCTACTGCTGTTTCTCTTGACGGAGTTTCCGCAGGGCACGTTGGGCTTGTCCAGCGTCATATTCGGCAAGGTCTTCTTCAACAAGTGCTACGTCAAACTCGGTAATTACTGAACGCGGCGCAGGCAACCGCCTCGGCCATTGCTTTCTTTTTCTTCTTCCTTTTCTTTTCTCGCTTTTTTCTCTTTTTTTTTGGCGGGAGTGAGAGAGACAATCCAATTATGGTAGCTGTCCGGTACTATAGCTCGCACACCACCCTCCAAAGCTTGTATCACGGATATAGACCCGAGGCCGAAGGAATCGCGTCTTCCTTCCTTCTCCCTCTCTCTCTCTCCCTTTCTTTCTCTTTATTTCGAGACAATCGACGTTGCTGACCTCACACTCGATTCCGGAGGATAATTAAGCGCTCGGGGGAAAGTAGCAGGCGGCTGTATATACTAGAGCATGTATAACACAGCAGATGGCAATCGATGCGCGAAATTCACGAGAGCAATAGGTACTTAATTGGCCCATCGCAGCAGCAGCAGTAGCAGCGCAGGGATTCATATGTATACCAGCCGCACATTGTACAATTTTCCCTCACTCGCTCGCTGCTGCTCGTGCATAAGGCAGTGCACCGAAGTGTGCAAATATCTCCGCGGCCTTTATTACAAATTATTATTATTATGATTAGCGCATACGTAATAATGTATTCGCGAGGCACCACCGCTCGTATCTCGAAACCTCGAAAGATTAATTTTATATCATGCGCCGTAATCGTTAATTATTTCTCTATGCAGGTTGCAGTCGCGCGAGACTATATCACGGTGTTAAAGGGCACGGAATTTTGCGGGCACGATAAAGGACAATTAAATTTAGTACCCGAGCCAATGCGTCGTTGCGAAGAAAGAGCTGCGCAATGTTGATCTGGCCGCGAGCTTACAAAGTCAAATGTCTACTACGTATGTATGTAAAAGGGTAAATATTTATACGAATTACTGGGGGTTCGCGAGCGCAGCACTGAGACGTCGCAGCAGCGCGTTAGATGAGAGCCCGAGGCACACTAGAACATGCACACGCAGATACGTTCGTAATCAATTTAGCAGTGGTTAGAATGAAGATATATTTTCAAGAGTCGCTAGTTGTGGTACAGCTGTTGCAAACTGCGCGTGCAAAGTCTTAAATTTAGAATTTGCCTGGGCTGCTGCAGCTACTACCGCTGCGTTGATAAAGAAATGATTCTTCAAAGCGAGTCCGGCTAATTAACGCGAGATTTCTATTTGCAACAGCGTATACAATATTTTATCGAGCCACTATTTAAATGTATTTTTAACTCTATTATTCGAAAACGAGAAAAAGAAAAAGAGAGCTTTAAATTGAAAAATGGCTTACAAAGTGGACAATAAAAACAAAAGCCAATGAAAATAAATGCACCGATCGTTATACGGACGCGCCGCGCACACTTTTGCGCCCAGGCGCATTATATAGGCGTGTGCACGCGCGCGAAATTTTCTCTCCCTCCCTTGGGCTCCGCGTTAATATTTTCTAACTTTGAATATTGCGTATTTTCTTTTGGTATTACCGTACGAGCGGCTCGCGTGCACTAGACTCGGAGGCAGAGTGAGAGAGAGAGGGAGAGAGATTTATTTACCAGATTTTTCAAATTCCAATAACTCACCGATTTCTTCTTTTAATCGCACCCGTCTATACCTATATGTATCGTGCATTCTGAAATAATAGAATTCTCTCGCTCTCTCTCTTTATATATCTACGCACCATTGAAATCGCTATCGCACACAGACAAATGAGGAATTTGCGCGAGGAACTTGTAGCAACAAAGAGAGAGAGACCTGCTACTCGCCCAGTCATTGGCGTATGGCTATTTTCATTCATACGTAGCTGGCAGCTCTCGCTACGTACGATCGTTTTTCATTGTCCTCCTCTCTCGTGGTGAGTTGTGCGTGCCTAGGCTGCCGTGTGCGTATGTACGCGCGTGTCTGTGGATATATAGGAAAATATTATCGCAGCGCACTACTACTGGTGCTGCTGGCGTTGCTGCTCGCCCCGTCCAATTATACTTTTGACAGGCTAATGATCACTTATGTGCGCGAACGACGCACGTGTTTATCGAAAATCGATCGATACGCCTAGCGCGCCACCGAAAACACGGACTGCGGCGGCCGAGCGAATAATCAATCAATAATTAAAATCGTTTCGAATTGCCGTGACGATATTATAGGCGCGATTGCCAAGCGCACGGCATATTTCGAGCGCATGTATAAACGACCTCTGCCGTAAACATAAATCGTTGGTGCATGGCTCTTTTTTTCGTCGCATTAGCGTCGGAGTCTCTCGCGCGCCTGCGTATATACGGATAATCTTATCTTTTTGAATCTATTGCGCCTCGTATCGTCCTCTCGCGTGCGCGCAGCATCTTTACGATGTAGCGCAGAATCTTCGGAGAAAAAAACTTTTTCTCCCCGGAGTTATTCCCGTCGCCGTTTATGGGTGGCATTTTTCACGCAGCGAGCTTTTTCGAAAATTATTCGCCGCTTCTCCTCTACCTTTTCGCCCCCGCTCGCGCACCGTCGCCTAGCTCTAATTCATGCTCTACAACATAGACTCGACCCTGCGAGCTGCGTTTAACTGCCCAGCTAGAGGCTAGCGTACATACTTTATCATCGCGAATCTCGTACGATTATTTAATGCCTCGCTCTTCGATTCAGCCTCTCTTATACATATATTTTATAGCCTCTCTTCCACGGAGTTTAATTAATTAAGACGGTATATGCACGCGGCTAAGTTTAAGGAGCTCGTATACTGCGCGGAACAATAGCCCTGCTTCGTGCTAGAGCCGCTCACTCTAGCTCGTTGCCGCGGCCAAGTCATTCCACGAAAACCAAACTCTCCAATCAGATATGCCCCGGTGACAACTTTGAGCTCATGAGTCGTGTGTGTGTGTCGCATATTATTCACTGCCTTGCGAGAGCTTATCATTATCCCGAGCTTGCATAAGCGCTACATCAGCTCGACGTTGTAATTGGAAATCTCGTGTTTACACGTTGACATAGATGTATATATGAGAAATTCAAGCGCTATCTATCTCTGACTATGATCAACTATGATCATCTATATTTTGCCTAGCAGCTATTTTGTAATGTACCACAGGGTGACTATCATTTTCTGTATAATCACTCGAAATGTTTCGACCCTTCGCACTTCGTTTGGCACGCATATACGCACATATGCTATCGTGTACGTTTATGTATATAATCTGATGTCCGATGACATGTTGCTCGTGCGCTCCAGCCGTACTCGACACATCCATTGCCGCAAACGGTCATATAGAGGCAATTACGATCAACGACGTACCTATATGAGTAGGCGTTATTGACAAGTGACTCCGTAAGAAAAATAAGATGGCATATTTTCGGATTAATCAGATAACTCGACCGACTTTTAATGAGATTTCGTTGTGGAGGACGTACGCGTAGACGAGGCTTGTTTTCCTTTCGTCGGATGAAAATATCATAAGCTCGGGTAAAAATATTTTTTACCTACAAATGAAAAAGAGCAAAGAGACAACACGCAATTATTTATCAAGCTTGAAATATGGCGTCTTTTCTGTTATATTTTTCTTTACGCAAATCACAGTACATCTTTATGTCGGTTTTATGTAATTAGTTCAACTCATAATGAGTTCGCATGGCTGTAATGAAACGAGAGAGCGAAAGAAGCCGAGCCAGACGTGCAAGCTCGCTGCGTTATAGTATAAGTATAGAAAACGATCCCGAGCTCTCGGAACAAGTTAAAAGTTGATCCGATAAGTTTTAACCCGAAGCGAAGCGATCCTGCAGCTGTGCGTTATAATTACTGCACAAAAGTGCAACGTGCTCCGCGCGCCCGCCGCGATAAAAAAACTTATGGGCTCGCACCGGAGGGTCATCGTATTGCGCGTAAAAGTCCACAGTTATACATCAAATTGTATTTCTGCAATTGGTGTAGGCGCGCGTTCGCGGTGGATAAACTTAATGTGCGTGGCTGAGCCTCGAAGGAGGAAAAAGTATTACACAAGGACTCGAAGCTAAAATATGTACATTACTTTGTCTATTTGTGTTTCTACGGGAGCGCGCGCGAGCGAGGGTTGAATGAGAAGGAAGAAAAAGTTATACTGTACGGATCCAGGCTAGGAGCTTTGTGGGGGCTGCGTGGGGGGAAATTGTGCAGAGTCCAAGTACCGGATAGTTGTTGCCTCTCGACTGTTCAGTCCTTATTGCGTGGAAGTTGCGTAATCCATACCGTAAACCGCCGCTAAATTAAGAATAGTCGCGTCATCGTTTTTTCAACGACTCTCTGCCTCGATTCGTTGACATTTTTCTCTTTCAGTCTCTATAGATGTATTGCATATATTTTTTAATTAAAATATATAGAGTGTAATAAAGCACCGAAATATCTCTGCTGTACAAGTCATGATATATCTCCAATTCCACTCATCGCTTTACGTAAATACGAGCTTGCGCGAGCTGGCGAGCTCGTATATAGTCCTTGAGCTCTCTGATCACTGCCAATCGAGAGCATGCCAATCTCTCTTGTTTCTGTATCGCGTACGAGGATAAAAACTTTGAAAATGATTTACCGTTTTCTTGTGAGCGCCAGAAGAGCGAGAAGAGTTTATGGACTTTTCTCTCTCATTGCTCTCGGAGGATATTTGGTCTCCGTGATCGTTTTTCTCTGCCCTCGCGCGCAAGGAACGATATACTTCTCTGCACGCGATTCCAACTACCTTCTCGCTTCGCTCTGTTTTTTCTTTCTTTTCGATCTGCTCACTGGATCTGCTCAAAGGTATATACCACTTGATTTTCCAGTATTTTTTTTTTTATTTTGCAAAATTCCTCCGAGCGACGTCCGCGTCTCTTTCCCTGTTCTCAGTTTATACCCCTGTCCTCGGTTTTATAAATTGACGCCGAGGTCTTGAGCGATACATATTCAAAAGCGTATCGATCTCAACATTTGACTAAACAAATTCAGTCATCGCTGGAGTCTCGTGCGATTGGCAGAGAGCACATATAATTTTTATCGATTCCATATAAAATTTTTCCATCCTGTACATCTTGTTTTACTCCC